GCAGCATGGTCTGGACGTCCGGTAGGGACCCAGACCAGCTGGGCCGTTTCTGAGGCCAGCATCAGGTAGGCCCAGCCCGCCCAGCGCTACAAATAGCTGGGCAGCGGCTGGGCAAGGACAGTTCGAGTAGCTCACTTCTGGAGCGACACGCTGCTGGTTGGAGGCAGCGTTATTCTGCGCTAAGCTATGGAGTAGGGAGTAGTGGCGTAGGTAGTAGAGAAAGGCGGAGGCCTTACCTGCAAGCGGCGAGCATACCTGGCGCCATAGCTGGGCTCCACGCAGTACCTGCACACGACGACGACCCTAGTCAGTACGGTGACAGCTACCTGCAGGTGAGATAGCAAGGAGGACGTCATCCTCTTCTTCTTCCTCCTCCATCTCTCTCTCTTCCTTCTTCTTCTTCCTCCTTCCTCCTTCTTGTCTCTTCTTCACATACGAGAGTGAGAGAGGTTATCGGTAGGAGATACAGGCAGAGGTTATGTTGGGCACATTGCCCAGGATCTGATTCGACATTTCTGGGACAGACATTGATTGGACGCTCGGCAAGGGACTATTTTTGGGACTTCGCTATCGCGATCTTGGTCTACTCCCTCGCCTCCTTCTCCTTCGTCTCGTCCCTTCCCCCCATCTCTCATCCGTGGCATCTCTCCATGTATGTGTGTGAAGGAGCGACCTTTCTTCTGTGATTGCGGTCCCTCCTCCCCTCTCACATGTGTGATGTATGATGAATGTCGGGTCAGTCCAGATCAGATCAGATCTTCTCATTAAAGTTTTCCGCTGCGCCACTTTGTGCCATCTTGTATGTATCGGAATGTACATTGCTTGTTGATGCTACGCTGACCTTGCATTGTCCATTTCAGTCCTTTTCATCACATTGTGGATCCTTGGCTCCCTACGCATTGTCCCATTGGGCATGCGTCAGTTTGGTATCGGAGGCCCGCTTGTGAATCAGGACAACCTGATCTGACACAAGCGCGGGGACAATCAAAGACTGATTGATTGATTGATTGATTGGATTACACTAATTAGTCCCCAAAATCGCAAATTTTGACCTAACTGCCGAAATCGAGTTTTTTTTTTGTTGTTTTGGATTTCATTTTCCCGCTATTCTCATTCGTGGAGAATCGCAATAGCGTTGCATCTGAAATTTTCGTTTTTCTTTTTATGAAATTCGAAATTCCGGTGCTGGAGGTCCGGAAATATTACGATTTTTTTTTTTCGATTCATCTTTTCCTTCGGAATTCCCCGTTAATCCGAAATTCCGAAATTTTTTTTTTAAACTTATTTCTGAAAATCCTTTTGCGTTCTTTTATTATTCACGCATTCCGGGGGTAACGGAAATTTTGAAATTTGACCGTTATTCCCAGATTCGGAAACTATTTTTTTTACGGGAAATTCCTCTGCAGTGATTTGTTTTCAAACTGCGCATACTCTCACTTGAGAAATTCCGAATTTTATGTTTCAGAATTCTCCAAAGTTGCGGATTTTTTTTATTTTCGCAGTTCAGTTATTTTGATCATCTCCATTTGTTATTATTTTTCTTTGCAGTCTGAAATTCGAATTTTTTTTCGAATTACTTGTTGTGGGGAAACATAGGAGACCTACTGAACTTGCAATCGAGAAATTCTATTAATTAATAATTATTTATTTATTTTCTCGAAATTTTTGCAAAGTTCCAACTTTTCATTTTTGATTAGTGGCTCCTTATCTGGGCGATTCACTCGATTCCCCCACTCCCCACCTCTCCCTCCCAACTCCTTCTCCTCTTCTTCTTGCTCAACTGCCCATCAGTTCTGGCTACAGCCTTGGTAACTCCCTATTTTTGAAGGCCACGTCAGCTACCCGCGGCGCATGACCCTGCTCACTCGTTCACAGACAGCAGGGATGGATCAGAAAGCCAACGAGACGGGCGAGGCCTATGAGGCACGTTTGGCGGCCATCATGACCGAAAGCAAGCAACGGGCAGAAGCATCAGCCGCAGCACGGAAGACGAGGGAGGCAGAGGCAGAGAGGCTGCGTCAGATCACCAAAGATCAACGGCAGAAGCACGCAGCAGCAGCAGCAAAGGACGCCGATGAAGAACGTGTACGACGGCGGGAGATTCTCTTTAGGGAGGAAACTGCGTTACACGCACAGGCCAGGGATTGGCGGCAGGAGGCCGAGAATGGAGACTCCGTTGACTACGGGACCAGGATTGCTCTCTTGCTCAACAGCGTCACGGACCTCCTCGCTACGTGCATGGCACAGCAGGAGGACATTCACTCTCTCGACCACGCCAATCAGGCGCTGACTAAGCGCATACAGCAGCTGGAGCAGCGACCAGTTGCCACCTCCAGCGCCGGCCCCTCCGACCTCGTCGACCGCGTCAACATCTTGGAGATAGACGTGGGAACACTCAAAACCGAGACACAGCGACTGGACCAGCAGGTGGGGGCAGCAGCCACACCGAGCTCAGCGCGTCGTGAGAGCATCCCCAAAATTTGAGGGGCTCCCGATCTTCTGTGATGCATCGAAGACGGAGCCTATACCTTGGTGGCGCCAGTTCGAATTAAAGCTGGATATCCACCATGTCGTCCACACAAACCGGCATGCATACTTGTACCCCTGGTCAGGAGGTGCGTGCCAAGCATGGCTGGACAACATGTTGTCCGCACATGCATGCACAGTCTTTGAGTTACACAACTTCATCACCTGGGCCGATCTCACGGCGGCATGGAAGAAGCGTTTCCAAGTGGAACCGCCCGCGCATCAGGCGATGGACAAGCTGTTGACATTCGCACAGAACAACATGCCAAGCAGAGACTAGATATCTGAGTTCCAACGCCTGGCAAGCACGCCCAAGTTGCCGATGAACTTCGACGGCATCAAGCTCTACTTCATCAAGAGGTCGTGCCCAACGTTGCAAAATGTGGTAACTCAGGTCGCCGAGAACCTCAACACAAGTGAGGAACTCTTCAACAAGGCTGCGCAGATCATCGTGATGAACTTGGAAGCCAAGAACATTGGTCGTTCGTCGACTGCCGGCTAGGGCGCGTATCAGCATCGACCGAAAGTGGACGTGGTTGCGGCAGCAACGCCAAGCGACCCTTCAACTTCAAGCGAGGCTGCCTCTTCTGACGAGGGAGACAAATTAGCAGCCACCCAGAATGGTGGCCGCCCCGCCAAAGGACGAGGACGCGGCAAAACGAAGACAAACACCACTTCTTCTGGGCCCGGACAAGCAGCTCCAGCTCAAGAACCTTGGACACAATACGGTCTGAATGAGCGCGGGTATCACGTTCGCAACAAGTACCGTTATTGTTTGTGGTGCAACTGCGCGGCACATGAGACCGCGAACTGTCCCATGAAAGCCAAGGGCCGCACTCAGTCGGGAAAGTGAGCACCGCCGAGAGTGATGCGACGACACTCTCGACGCCTTCGGAACCGGTTGTCGTACGGGTAACCTCCCTCGGTTCCGGGGCATATGCAGAAGTCGTAAGTCCTCTCATTCTTCATTCTTTCGAGGACTATGTTGTCCGGCTCGTACCTTCGCTGAATTCACGAGCCCAAGGACAGGATGTATGTGCGGTTTCTTCTCCGATCGGAAGCAGCAGCATTGAGTCGTCTTCAAATGGACCTTCACGGGATTCGACGCGCGCGTTCAACATAGAGGACTTGGACCCGTTGACGCCCGAGGATTTTGCATGGCTCCCTCTCCCTTCCACCGGCTGCTTACCGAAGCCGCAATGCGCAGCTCTTAGCGCTCATCTACATACATACCTAGCCTTCTATGCACCACCAACTTCGCCAACGGAGGACGAAGTCGCGGTGGGGGACATTCTTGCGTACATTAGCAAGGTGGTCCACGAGTTTCGCACGCAGCGGTACGACGACAACAACGCACCGCTGCTTTATGTTCGCATCCAAGTTGGGCAAGCGTCCTGTTGCGCTTTGCTGGATAGCGGCGCGACTCGCAACTTCATTAGCTAGTCCTTTATGTAAAGGGTCGGCCTTGGACCACAAGTTCGAAGGAAGGCACACCCTACGGCGGTCAAGTTGGCGGACGGTAGGATGCAACAACTCCTTGAACGCTACATTGAGGCCGTACCGGTCTATTTCGCACCTCATGCATGCGAACCGGTGGCGTTTGACGTCTTGGACACAGACTTCAACATCATTTTGGCCATGCCTTGGCTTGCAAGTGCGGATCACACGGTCAACTTCCATCGACGGACACTTACGGCCCGCGACGCGTTTGGCGCCGAAGTGCCATGTACCATCCCTCGTCCACACCCTTCGATCCGGTGCCAAGTCGTAACAGTCAAATCTTTTCAGGCCACTTGCGCTTACGAGCGGACCGATGAGATAGGCCTATGTTTTCTTCACACCGTTGCGGCAGCCAAATCTCAACCCACGGACTTGTCTTCGGACCCCCGTGTGGTACGGTTGCTTGACGAATTCGCCGACATCTTCGAGTCACCTACCGGCGTGGTGCCGGATCGGCCGATCTCCCAGGAGGTCATTCTCGAGGCCGGTGTCGTGCTGCCGAAAGGTTGCATCTATCGCATGAGCGAGGAGCAACTTACAGTACTCCGCGCGGAGCTCGATGATTTGTTGGACAAAGGCTGGATCCGGCCTAGTAGCTCACCCTATGGTGCGCCGGTTCTCTTCGTGCAGAAGAAGAACAAGGATCTTCGCCTATGCATCGATTACCGCAAGCTCAATGCACAAACCGTCAAGAACGCGGGACCTCTTCCTCGTATTGGCGACCTTCTGGAGCGTTTGGGCGACGCAGAATTTTTTTCCAAACTGGATTTGAAGTCAGGGTATCATCAGATATCGATACGCCCGCAAGATCGTTACAAAACCGCGTTTAAGACATGGTGTGGGCATTTTGAGTGGGTCGTCATGCCTTTCGGACTCACCAACGCCCCGACAACTTTTCGAGCGGCGATGACCAACGAGTTCCGTGCAATGCTAGACTGGTTTGTGCTGGTCTTCCTCATCTATAGCCGGACCTTGGAGGAACATCTCGAGCATCTTCGACGAGTGTTGGAGACGCTCCGTCGCGCCAAGTACAAAGCCATCCGCGACAAGTGTAAATTCGTACGTCAAGAGTTGGAATACTTGGGCCATTTCGTCACTCCTCAAGGCATCAGTCCGTTGTCGGACAAGATTCAAGCCATCCAAGATTGGCCGGAGCCGCGGAACATCACGGATGTCCGTTCGTTCCTTGGCCTTGCTGGCTACTACCAACGTTTCATCAAAGGGTACTCGAAGATCACGGCCCACTTATCCAAGCTTCAATGCGAGGACCGACCATTTGACTTCGGGACGGATGTGCGGGAATCATTTTTGGCCCTTAAGGCGGCATTGCTATCGGCGGAAGTCTTGCGAATATACGACCGGCTATTGCCGACGCGCGTCACTACGGATGCGTCTGGCTATGGCATTGGTCGTCCTTGAACAACATGATGGCGTGGACTAGCACCTGGTCGAATACTTCAGCAAGAAAGTGTCGGTCGTGCACTCAATCGATGATGCATGCAAGAAGGAACTTCTCGCCTTCGTCCACGCACTCGAGCAGTGGCGGAACTTCCTCCTTGGTTGACGCCAATTCCGATGGGTAACAGATAACAATCCGTTGGTCTTCTACAAGACCCAAGACATCGTCAACAACACGATCACCCGTTGGATGACTTTCATCGACCAGTTCGACTTCTTTCCCGATCACATTCCGGGGAAGTCAAACCGTTTTGCGGATGCTCTTTCACGGTGTCCGGATCACTGCATCGTGGTCTACTCAACCTCCGAGATAGGGGATGACTTGCGGGTCAGTTTCATCCGCGGCTATCAAGCCGACCCCAAATTTCTCGACAAGTACGCAAATTGTTCCTCTCCCAATCCGGCGCCTCCGCACTATCGGATCCAAGAGGGATACCTGCTCGTTCACTCGCGGGGGTCTACGTTGTGTGCCGCAAGATTCACACTTGCGCACGAGGCTTCTTGGCGAGTTCCACGACCCCCCCGCCACCGGACACTTTGGAGTCAATCGCACGATTGGCCGACTCCGCGAGCGCTTTTGGTGGCCCGGTCTTCTCGACGACGTCACGCGCTATTGCGAGTCATGCGAGGTTTGCCGACGTTGCAAATCCCGCAATCGTCGTCCGTAAGACGAACTGCGACCATTACTGGTCCCCTTGCGCCGAAGGGAAGCGATTGCCATGGACATTAACGGACCGTTCCCCAAGCACAAGACGGGTGTGGATGGGATTCTCACAGTGGTTGACCGACTCACCAAGGTTGCCATGTTTTTGCCTTGCCGCTATCACACCAAGGCACCGGAGTTGGCCGAGGCTCTCTACGCCGGTTGGATTCAAACCAAGGGTTACCCCAGGAAATCGTTTGTGACCGCGACACTCGGTTCATGTCCGATGTTTGGTTAGCGCTCATCAAACGATGGGGCTCATCCCTCAAGCCGAGTTCGGCTCGCCACCCCCAAACCGATGGCCAAATGGAGAGGGCACATCAGACCGCACAGGTCCTTCTTCGCACTCTCATCCGTCCCGACCAAAAGGATTGGGTCGAGCGGCTGCCGGATGTCGAGTTGGCATACAACTCGTCCATCCATCCGACTATCGGGATGTCGCCCTTTGAGTTCGAGCATGGCCAATTCTCCGTTGGACAAAATCATCCCACGGGCGGTCGAGAGCGACAACCATCTTCTCTTCATTCGTCGGATGCAAGAGCTTTTTGTCAAGGCATGCGACCAGATGTCAACGACGCAGCAACGTATGCACCAACAGGCCAACCGCCAACGTCTTTCTTGTCCGTTCCGCGCCGGTGACCTCGTATGGGTGTCCGCTGCGGAATTCAGCCTCGAACAAGACATCTCTCGGAAGCTCCTTCTGAAATGGATGGGCCCTGGCCGATTGTGGCACCTGCTGGGGACGCACCCAAAGGACCTTCATTTATCATTCAGGTGCCCGCCCACTTGCCCGTCAACCCGGTCTTTCACTGTTCCAAGTTGGCTCTCTACACGCCAGCGGAACTTGACGACTTTCCCGGGCGACGATCGCAAGACCCACCCTCGATGGACGGTTTTCAAGAGGTTGGCGACATCATATCCCAGTGACGTTACAGCAACAGGCCGACTGAATTCTTGGTCCACTTTGACCGATGGTTGACCTGTGCGGAACTTCACGCAACAGCTCCCGATGTCCTCGCACGCTCCGAACGCAAGTTGCAAGGCAAGACGGCATCTTCGGCTCCACGCCGCACACGCGTCCAGGTTCCACCTTCAGATCGTCAGCGTCGCCCTCGACCCGGCTTGACTTCATAAAGGGGGGGGTGTTGCATGCTGCGCCTGCACACGGGCCCCGTTCGAGGGGCCCGACGGTTGCTAAGGGGCCCCCAGGCCGCGTACCATACAGCACGCGCCCTGGAGTGGCCCACGGCGGCCCTTCAGGCCCTAGGTAGCACACAAATTAGATAGGTTTAGTTTTACTTACCTTTTCATGTGTGTGTGCTGTCTTACTTTGTCTGTTCAGGTGCCGTTTCGGACTTGCAGCCCCAAGGCCGGACCTTGGGACTGGGTACACCGGAGGCAGGCCCGAAACGAGGCCAGGCGCATTTTGGCGCCAGACCGTTAGGTGCAGGTGTCGTTTCGGTCCTGCAGGTCCCAAGGCGACGCCTTGGGCTAGGTGCACAGGTACCAGGCCATTTTTAGGCCAGGCGCATTTCTGCGCCTTGCTGCATCAGCAGCATGGTCTGGACGTCCGGTAGGG